CACTGCACTCCAGTCTGGGCGACAGAGTGAGACTCCAACTCAAAAAAAAAGAAAGTTTGACTGCATAAATAAAATGTCTGTGGGATATAATCACTTTTTTTTCCTTCAGGAGCTTACAGTCTTTTTTTTTTTCTTTTAGTTTTTTTTTTTTTCTTCTAAAGATGTATGGTACAATTCAGGGTTAGGTATAAAAATGCTCAATATGCAGGTAACCTTGTTGATGAGGTGTGCCCCCTCCCGTTCCCCAGGCAGATTCCCATGAGTTGAAGTTTCACTCAGTTGCGCAGGCTGGAGTGCAGTGGCACGCAGGCTCATGGTCACTCCACCCTGAGCTCCAGCGATCCTTCCGCCTCAGCCTTCCAAGTAGCTGGAACTACAGGCTCGCCCTACCACACCCGGCTAATTTTTTTGGTTTATTGTAGAGACGAGGTGTCACCAAGTTGCCCAGGTGGGTCGTGAACCTGCGGGCTCAGGCAATCCACTCACCTCAGCCTCCCAAAGCGCTGGGATTACAGGCTGAGCCACCGAATTCAGCTTCAACCAGCTCTTCTGATGTTCTTTTCTCTATGTGTATTTCCATTCCCTTATCCAGCCCCACCTGGCAAACTCCTACTCAACCTTCAACACCCTGCTTAAATGTCACTGCACCTGGAAGCCTTCTCCATCTTCTCAGTATAAATTTTTTTCTGTATTTCTGACCCTTTGTCTATAACTAGTAAATCATTGATCCTCGTGTACTGTCAAGAACCTTGAACTATTTTATCTCTGGATTCCCAGGGCCCAATAAAGATCCCAGTGCTAAGAATGAAATCATTTGATAAAACAAGCACAGCTTGAGTGGCTGTGAATCTGTGATCATGCCACAGAATTACTGCGCCTGAGTAGATGAAGATGCAGAGGTGACCCAAATGGACGTCTGTCTGATGTTTGAACCCCTCATCTGTATTCCCAGCTTGAGGCAACGTAGATGAAGCCCCTAATCCAGCAACTGGCATATATTATACAGTCAATGAACAGTGGCTGATATTGTCGTTATTTGTTATTGTTGTTGTTGTTATTTCTCAGGGAATCCAAGTGAACTTAGAAGAATTCACAGAAAGAACAAAATCCCCATCTCTAACAAGTCAGTTCAGCCTCCTGAGACCTCGATTTCCTTGTCTGTAGAGTCTGGGATACAACTAGACGTCCTGTCATTGGTCCCTTTCAGTTCTAATCAAAACCAAAGCAAAACCAGAGCAAATGTCATCACTGACAGATCTGATAGATCCCAGCTCGTGTCTTCCTGGTGTGATCTCTGATTAGTAATCAGAGAAGC